CCTGCACTGGATCACCTCCTGCAAAGAGGGAACGGGCTGGATGAGAGCGCTGGCCCCCCCAGGTCACAGCCCCAGCCTGTGTCCTGAGCTGTGGCTGGTGCCATTCAGCTTTGGGAGGTCACGATACGCCGACACCCTTTGCCAAGGGGGCGACCGTGGTGCATCGCAGCCGCGCTCTAATTGGGGCCCTACGTCTGCACACCCGAGCCACAGCTCCAGGAGGCACCACGGCGAACAGCCGGCTCCTCAGGGGCTGTTCTTACTTGGGATATTTGGTGTGCTGTGACACAGCCCGTGTTTCCCCCCCCCCAGGGAGGATCCTTGTGCACTGTGCTGTCGGGGTGAGCAGGTCGGCCACCTTGGTCCTCGCCTACCTCATGATCCGCCACCACATGCCCCTTGTAGAAGCCATAAAGACGGTCAAGGACCACCGCGGTATCATCCCCAACCGGGGTTTCTTGCGCCAGCTGGTCGCCCTGGACAATGCCCTGAGGCTGAAGAGGAGCGCGTGAAGGAGGATGCGAGGGAGAGTGTGGTGGGAGCGGTGGGTGTGCGGCGCCCGCTTGACCCCGCCGCCAGCCGAGTGGCAGAGCTAGGGCTTTCCTCACGGTGCAGACGCTTGGCAGCTAATGGGTTACATGCAACTGGCCCCTGGGCCTCCCCCCCTCAGCTAAGGGGGTCCCCAGACATGCGAGCTATTCCCAGTGGTAAAGCATAGGCCCTCAACCTGCAATCTTGCAGGCCTAACGTACAGCCTCCTTCCCAGCCTGCTCGCTCCAAGATGCCTCCGGAGGGACTCAGCCTCACGTTACAGGTTACTCCGTCCCTCTTGGCTCCAGGAAGCCTCCGAGGCTTCTTTCTCCCATGTGGCAGATGCATTTGCCAAGCCAGTCCTGCCCCTCCCTCCCAGGAGACTGAAGCTCTGTGTGTTCCCTCTCTTGTTTCCCGTTTGTTTTTGGTCTGTGTCGCAACGTGAACTAGGTCTGGTGCGTGAGCTCAGGCAAACAGGCCTTTTGTTGTCGTGTTTGGGTGTCCTCCATGCCTGGTGTTAACCTGTGAAAATAAAAACAGTGCTAAGGAAGAAGTCTGGCCATCCCTTGTGTACTTTGGGACAGACTTTCAGGCTGGGACCCGTCACGGAAGGCAGTGGGAGAGCATCACCTTAATGGGTTTAGATGGACCTGAGTCCCAGTCCAGGGGCTGAACCTGCCAGACCCCACTGGTGGCCAGTGCTTGTGCAGGGCCTCCCCACTCTGTTATTTTTTCCAGCAGTGGGGACAGAAAGGGGGGCTCCTGGTGGCAAGCAGAGCTGGGCTGGCAGTCACCGGGGTCACCATCCATCACGAGGTGGCGATGTCGGTCTCCCAAAGGCAGGCCAGCACCCAGCTAGCCACCCAGGCTCGCCCAATAGCCGGCTGCCCACCTGGCCTGCAAGAACCCCCTGGCAGAGGGCATGGGCGAGCTCAGCCCCAGGAGGGTGGCCAGGCCCAGGACCCAGCGTCTGCGCTGGCACCAGCCACGTGGGCGCTGGGCGGCCCCAGGGGTGCTGGGCTGCCCCTGCACGCTGCCAGCGCTCATTGTCTGCCCGCTCTTATTTTAGCCCCATTTTAGCCCCGGGTGAGCCGCTTGCCGCGGGGCACACCGCGGCCCGTGCCGGAGCACCCCATCCCTGCTAACGGGTGGCCCCAAGCAATCCTGCTCCGGGGAACGCTTTGCCTTCCGCTCAAGTGCAATAGGGAACGCAAATTCAGTTTGCGGAAGCCGTGGTGTCCTCCAGGTGAGCTCCTGGGCTGGGGACTCTGTTCTTACAGGCCCCTGAGGTGGTCAGGGCACGGCACCGTCCCAGGAAGGTGCTGGCAGAGAGAACAGATCTGCTGCTGCCAGCGGGGCTGGGGTTACCCCCCTGCAAGGGCTGCAGACACCGAGGCAAGGAGGAACCGGCGCTGGGCAACGCGCAGAGGCCGGTCACCCTCTGCAGTGACACTGAGCGTTGCCGAAGCTTCGGCGGGGGAGGATTGCAGCTTGGCAAAGTCCCCCGGGGGGGGGGGGGGGTGTAAAAACGCCTCCTGTCTGATTTTGCAATTCTGCTTTGTGCTCCTTGCTGCTGCGAAGCTGCCTTTGTGCGGCCTGTTGCTAACCACCCCCCACCGCCCGGAACGCCGAGCGTGGCTGTTGTTTGACAAAGCTGGGATCAGGGCGGCTCTGAGCACGCGGGGAAACGGGGTTGTGTGGATCAGCAAACTAATCCAGAGAGCAAAATCACCGGAGCGAGCCCGCGGTGCGCCACACCTTGCTGCGTGCCTGCAGCGACCTGTGCTGGGAGGCGTTTCACGCTCCCAGTCCCGCTGCCCTCCCGGTCGCCAGTCACCCGCAGGGTCCCCACTCGGGGTGAAGACGTTGCTCGTGTCCAAAACCACCCCTAACCCCCCGCCCCACGACCGGGAGCCAGCGGGAGCTCAGCACCTCCCGGGAGGTTCCCCGAGGGCCGGCGCGGAGGCGAGGTCCGTGTGCTGAGCATTTCTGCGGGGCGACGGGGCCCGATTTGAGGGGGTGCCGCGCGCGTTTCGCGGGAACACGCGCGGCAGAAAAGCGGGGGTGCCCCCCGGGGCCGTGCGTGGCAGGGACGAGGAGCCCGAAAACCACGTGGGGGGGGGGGCTCCCAAAAATCACGGAGCAGCCGGGCTGGCTCGTCGGGAAGCTGCGGGGGCGGTTCCGGGGAGTGGGGGGGTCGGGGCGGGGTTTGCGGGTAGGGCCGCGCCCAGCCCCGCCCAGCCCCGCCCCGCCCAGCCCCGCCCCGCCCGGCCCGGCCCCGCCCAGCCCCGCCCTGCCCAGCCCCGCCCGGCCCGGCCCAGCCCCGCCCCGCCCCGCCCAGCCCCGCCCCGCCCGGCCCCGCCCGGCCCGGCCCGGTGCCGCGCTCGGCGCAGCGGCTCCCGGGTGCCCCCGTTCCAGTGGTGCCACGGTGAGAGCGGGGGGGCTGGCGGGGGGACGGGGGGGGCCCCCCCCCCCTCCCTCCCTCCTGCCCGGGGGGTGTGTGTGGGGGGGGGGAGGCTGCGGGGCGGGAGTTTGGAGGGAGCGGGCAGCACGCACCCCACCCCCGGTCCTGCCCTGGGGCAGCGCGGGGCGGGGATGAGCCGGGGGAGCGGTTTGGTTTGCAGAGCTGCGAGTCCTGCTCGGTTCTCAGGAATAAAGCCAAAGACTAAATGAATTTGCCATGCTTTCGCTTTGTGGGCTGGCTGCAATGAAAAAAAAAAAAAAAAACCCAAAACAAAACAAAACAAAAAAACAACAACAACAAAAAACAAACAACAACAAAAAAAATAAACAAACAAACAAAAAAAACCAAACAAACAAAAAACCCCCAAACAACAACAAAGCACCCCAAAACAAAAAACTAACCACCCTCTTTCATGTGTCCACAGAAGTGGAATAAACTTATTTTTTAAGGGGCTCCAGACAAGGCCACGGCTCCTCACTCTTGTGTTCGCTGTAGGAAATTCTCAGGAACGTGGAACCGAGTTTGCACATGTGAGGGGGGTTTGGTTTAAATGAGAAGTGGTTTATTGGTTTATTTTTATGACTAAGTAGTTGAGAAGCTGCGCTGGGAATTTTACCATCAAAGCCCTGCCTGAGCAACAAAGGCTGGGTTATTTTATTTATGAAAGGGTTACAGCCTTTGAAGCTAAATATAATGCAACCAGTGGCTTCCTCTCCTGTAACACATACCTTGTGTGTTCTTGTGCAACTTGGGGGAGACGAAGCCACCGGTCCCGCAGGCAGTTTGCCCTGGACATGCGGCGAGTGCGCGGGTTTCCGTTCAACAGGGTGCACGTAAATGCTCCACAGCAGCAAACGCAAACTCGGCTGTGTTAAAGAAACAGCCTAAAAAAGAGACAGTTTGCTTTTCGAGGCTCCAAGCAGCCACAGCTCTCACCAGCTTCCCGAGGCACGGGCGTTGGGAAACACCGAGGACAGAGGCTGCCCTTGTTCAAAGGCCAAGACGTGGGTTTAGGAGACCAGCCGTGGGCATCTGACTCGTACATTTTGGCTTTAAGCCCCGAGCTCGCAAATATTTAAATCAGCAGAGTCCAGCAAAACTGCTTATCCGCACTGTTCAGGACCTTTGCAGAACTGGAACCATTGGTGTAAATAAGTCTGAGACCCAGTAAAGAAATCACATCTTCGACATATCAAAATATCTTAACGGATGGTGCATGCTGCGCTGCCTCGGCATTTCAGCTCCTCTTTTGCATCACAATTTTTCCTCCCGTTGTTCAGGGGACTTTGCAGTCACCGGGCACGAGCCAGGTAACTTTATTTGGAGGGGAGCTGGTTATCCCCCATGGAGAACTGCTTGGCTTGGGGGCAACTTTTGCAGGAAGGCTATTCCAGCATCACAGCAAAAATTATATGGAACCTGCATTCAATTTTCTGATGCAAATCCCACAGCTTTTGTGTGGGAGTGGAAAGAATGGTTTTATTTAATGACCTGCTGAGTTTTCCATTTGTTTTATTGAACAAGAATTGGGGTGAGGGAGAAGCTCTGCTCAGCAAAAACCCCGTGCCTGCACAATACAGGCAGAAACTCGTGTCTGTCCTGACCTGAAATACTGCAAAATATTGCAGACTGTTGTGTCGGGGGGCTCGCGGCGTGGCTGGAGCAGGAGGGTCTGTGTTTGCAGAGGTGACGGCCGGTCGTGCTGTGGGGTTTGGGGGAGCAGGGCTGGGGTCGCCCCGTTAAGCATCTCAACCAGAGGCACTACTGCGTGTCCCCAGCGCAGCTTGCAGCAGGGGTGTTTAGGCCAGCTCGGCGCTTAAACCTGCCAGGGAGCTGTGCGGGGAGGAGGAGGAGGAGGAGGAGGAGGTGCAACCCCCAACCCTGACAGGGCAATCTGCATCTTTGCTGCTTCCGCTTCCAAAGGGGAGGGTTTGCAGTTTGCATGAAAAACACTTTGCTGGCAAAATGCACCACCTTTCCGAGCATCCTTCTTGTGGTGAGAAGAGTCCGGAAAGTCAGCGCGTGTCTGTAGGGACTTTCACAGATGTCTCGTGATCCCTCTTTTCTCATTTTTCAATTAAATAATTGATCCAGCACACCACCTTCAGGGATTCTGGTTCCAGGTACAGAACTGGTAGACTGAAGCTGGTGAAATGGGTCTGGTGCCCATCAGGTCTTCGTTTCACGTTGGTTAAAACCGGATTGGATCCATTCCCCTTGAACTAAAAATACGAACGCCTCTGTCGGGCGGAGGGGTTTGCGCTAATCAAAACCATCGCTCGGCCAAGGCGCCCACCGTGTCGATGAGCTCTGGTGGGGAGGAGCGGGAGGGGAAGGGGCTGGCCAGGGCTGGGAGGACCTCGCTTTTCGGAGAGGCTGGGCTCAGCGGCTCTCCGAGCCCCGCTGCTCGAGGGCTTGGCCCGGCAGGACCTGCTCGTCCCAGCCGAGCCGATGGCTGCTCCTCAGCCAGGACAGGGCACTTCCCCGCAGCCGCGCTCGCTTTTCGGCACCGCGACCTGGAGCTCATGAATTCCCCAAAGCCTATTTAACAGGAATGAGCCTTGCGAAGCTGGTGAGTCTAAAATTAGCCTTGCCAGCTGTGTTGCAGCTGGCAGGGACGTGTTAGACCGGCTCCTCTCTGCTTCCTTCGGTACGGGGCTGCAAGTTACAGCACCTCTTGTTCCGCCTCAGTTTTTTCCTTGCTGCTGGTTTGACGGCCCCTCTCTCGGCACCCGTGGGGCTTTTACACACAGGTGTTGCCACCTGTGGGGAATTCGGGCGTCTAACGCGGAGCAGTGCTCAGTAAGCAGTTCGCGGGGTCGGGGAATGCGATTTCTGCCCCATGGGACGGGGCGCAGCGCGGGGACTGTAGGGACAGCCCCGTGCAGAGGAGCGATGTCGGGGTGCGACGTGCAGGAGTTTGTACGCTGGGTTTTGAGGCCCCTTTAGATGAGCGCGGAGAGGTGAGCGTGGGGTTGGCAAGGTTTGTCTCCCTCGGGGCTCTCCTTCCCAGCTTGCCTGGCGCTTCTCCTGGAAAACCTCTGGGATGCACATCCCAGCCTTTCCCTGCTCTCTGCAGAGCTGATTCTCCTCCTGCTATCCCCAGACAAGAGCTTTTCCACCTCACCATGGGTGCCCACGGAGCAGATCCGGACCATCCCTCACTGCAGCTCGAGCAGGTCAAGCTCTTGCCGTGGGCAGCGGCCGCCCCTCGGGCCCCTCTCACGAAGCTTTAACTCAGGTTTGGGCAGTTTCTGTCACCACGGGTCTCCTGGCAGGGAGGGGAACGGCTGGTGCTTTTCAGCAGAGGCTTGGAATAGCTCTCAGTTTGAAATACACGTCGGAAGCGTTGTTGTTTCACTTGTGACCCGTTATTGTTACCACAACCCACCGCTCTCTGTTTGGCCAACTTCAGAGGAGGCTTCCTCCAGCCACGGAGCTGCTCGGCCCCCCGTGTCCCACCACTCTGTGCACCAGCGTTACCTCATGGAGTTGCTGGGTGCTTTTTATGCAGAGCTGAGGCACTGGTGGTTTTTTGGAGCGTTTCTCAATCATTTCCAGTGGGGACATTTAAATAAATAAATAAATAAATAACCTTTTCTATTGTCTTTTCCTGCACCTGGTGGTCTCGAGCAGAAGGCTGGGAGAGAAGGATCTGACAAACAAACCCTCCCTTTTGTGCTCTGCGGATGAGGTGGCTGATGAATTGGCTCCGGTGATTACAAGAGGCAAAGATCAGCAAGTGGCTCTGCCCTCGGGAGCATCAAAACCCCATTTCCTACGGTCCAGACTCTTGCCTGGTGCCCGCTCCGGCGGCGGAGCGGCGAACCGCAGCCCCCGGCCCCGCGGCACGCCGTTTTGGCCGTTGCATCAGTGGGATGTGGAAATTCACAGCAAAGCAGCTACACGGGAGCCGAGTGTCCCAGGGCAGGATCCCAGCCCGGGCTGCCGCCTGCCCGTGCTGCTCGGGCTCCCCTTGCTGTGCAGATGTTCTGGGGCTCTCTTGGGGGGGCCGCAGTGGAGCCCCCGCTGCCGCCTTCCCTCCCCATCCCAGCCTGGGGGGGGGGGGGGGGGAGGAAAGCAGACAGACCAAACCCGGGCTCTCGCCGCTTTGTGCAGAGGTTTCTGCCGCCCGCCCTCTTCCTGTCTCTGCTCTCCGGGGTGGAGAGCAAATTGCATCCTCTCATGAGAAACAGGCGGAGGATTTTAGCGGGCTGTAATTAAACCCAGAAGCGTTTCTGTAGGAGCGTTTTGATGAGATCGTGCGGCGCGGGAGCCGAGCAGAAGGGGCGGGGGGAGATGCTCCGCGGAGCACAGATGGGGCTCGGGGGCTGCTCTCCTTTAAAGTCCCGTCTGAGCAAGATCTGAGGGGAAATCAAAGCTCCAGCTCTTGTAGGGTCAGCATGATTTTGAGACATAAAAAGCGATGCTTCTTTAGTGCCAGCGCCTGGCTTTGCTCCCAGCAGAGGCAGGGTCGGTGGGTCGGGTGTTTCCGTGGATTTCCCCCCTTGGTTCGGTGGGACCCTCGTGGGGTGGTCGCGCCGTCACCGGCTTCTGCGTGACGCCCTCCCCCGCGTTTCCCCCGTGGGGTCAGGCAGCGGCGTGTGGCTGCTGTGTGCTGGAGGCCACGGTTTTGCTCCAAAAGGGGATTCGGTCGCCGTGGTGCCGAACGTGCTCCTGCACAGCCCCGGCGCTTCTCCCAGCACCAAGGACGAACCAGCCACTTGCTCTTTCTGGCTCCCACGGAGCAATGACAGACGCCAACTGTTCTTGTTTTTCAAGCTCTGGTTTTTTTGCTCTGTCCTTCCCTAAATCCCCTTCCAGCCTCCATGTATTTCTCTGGAGATGAAAGCACGGGGCCTCCTTTTCTCCCAGACGCCTGGATTCTGCCTGGGGTACGTTTGTGCTGCTGGAGAAGTTTCGTGACTGTAGAAATGCGGCGGTGTCTGCTGCCTGAGCTGCACTGAGCAGCTCGAAGGGGCTGCTGCTCTTCCTGGGGACACCTCCGATTTGCAGGCCATGAGACAGTATCTTGGCGTTTGTTTCTGCCCACTTCGCAAACTCCAGAGGGGTCAGAGTCAGCCCAGGCTCTCTCCACTCTCACCGAACATTTTCTTCACCTCTTTTTTTTTCCCCTTCTTCCATCCTAAACACTGACTTTTCCCCCCCAAAGGGTGCTCCTGCAGTCTGGGGCTGATTTATACCAGTAAACCCTGCACGATGCCTCCCATCACATTCCAGGACCTGCCACTGAACATCTACATGGTCATTTTTGGCACCGGCATCTTTGTCTTCGTGCTCAGCCTCATCTTCTGCTGCTACTTCATCAGGTGAGCTGGGGGGGGGGGGGGGGCCAGGGGGGCTGTGGCAGCGGGTCAGCATTCCCTGGGGCACCCCCAGCCCCCCCCCCGTTGTTTTGTCCCATAACACAAGATTTGCCCTGGGGAGCGGGGCCGGTGCTCGTGGCCCCCACAGTCCCGGAGCAAGGCAGGAAAAACAGGAAGGGGCTCTTGTTTTTCAGGGGAGCACACGGAGGGACGCATTGTGTCGGGCAGGGAAGGAGCGGTGCTGCACGGGAGAGGATGTGTCTTTACATTACACTCCCTGTTCAGGGAGGGCTATTTTTAAACCCAAAGCCGAGGCAGCAGCTGGTGTTTCTGCAGGGCCGGGGTGCCCCCGGCTCCGCTGATGTCCCCCTTCATCTCTCAGCCCTTTTGGGGCCTGCGGGAGCCCGTGCCTCGGTTGGAGGAGAAGCGAAGGCTGCGAGCGGTCCCCTTCTCCCCGTGCCTTGCTGGGTTTCTCTGCCAGGCGGTTTTCCCCAGCGCCCTCGCCCCCGGCCGAGGTCCCAGCGGGGCTGGGAGCTGCCGGTGAGCGAGCGCTGGAAATACAACTCTTCCTGCGCCACCAACGACTTCCTAAGGCAAACAAATCGGGGCTGCCGGCTCTTCTCACTCCCCGCCGCCCATTCCTGCCGGCGCGGGGCCCGGCGCTGCTGCGGGAGCCGGTGCCTCGGGCTGGTCCTGCCCGTCCCGCGCTGCTCCCGCGGCTCAAACGCGGCCTCAGAGCCGCTCATCCCCCAACCCTGGCCAGGACGGGCGCGTTGCCCTGATTTCAGGTGCCTCCTGAATATTTTTTGGCTGCCCCGTTCAGACGTGACCCCTGAGGATGCTGTAAAACTCACAGTGCCTTTTTCTCCTTTCCTTTCCTCCAGCAAACTGCGGCACCAGGCTCAGAGCGAGCGGTGTGGGTACAAGGAGGTAAAGTCGATGGTTGTTTTCTGTGCGTACCCGCAGCGGTTCAGGGCTGAGCGGGAGGTGGGTGCAGGTGGGGACACACACACACACACACGACTGATGCTGCTCATCCCAGCTGAACGTCCTCAAAAGCAGCGTGATGGGAGACACCGCTGGGTTCAGCTCCCATCGGGGCTCCTGGCAAAATCCCTCCTGATGTTAATCCTCTGCCTCCTTTTCTCCCTCAGGTGGTTTTGAAAGGGGATGCCCGGCGGCTGAACGTGCACGGGGTGAGCGGTACCGCCGCTGGGTTGGGGTGGGGGGTAATGGGGACGATGCTCTGGGGCGCATCCCCCCCCTCGAAGGGCAGGATGGGGCCATGCTGGCACCGCGGGGCTGGGCTGCGATTCGGGAGGGGAAACCCCCTCCCTTGGCTGGGGGGGGGGGGGGGGAGGTTTGGGAACAGAGGCTGAGCTCTCCCAGCTGGAAATCCCCGGGATTTTCCACACCACCACACCCCACCCCCACCGGCCACCGCTGCGTTTCTGGTGGGTGCGTGGGCGTCGCGCTGGGTCTCGCGTGTTCACACCCGCCCTCAGCCCGGGTCTCGCCTCCCACAGCAGACCTGCGCCGTCTGCCTGGAAGATTTTAGGGTGAAGGAGGAGCTGGGGGTGCTGCCGTGCCAGCACGCCTTCCACAGAAAGTGAGTATGGGTGCGGGGGAGGGGGGGCGTTTCCCGGGTGGGGGGATGCTCATCCTCCCGTGTTTTTGCCCCGCAGGTGCCTGGGGAAGTGGCTGGAGATTCGCTGCGTCTGCCCCATGTGCAACAAGCCGCTGGCGGGGCCGGCGCAGCCCCGCGCCGGTATCGGCACCCTCCTGGATGAACTGGTGTGAGCGGCCCCACGCCTCGACGGCCAAATCCTGCCGGGACCCACGGGCGGCATCACCCGGCCCCGCGTGTCCCCTGTGGGGTGGGAAGTAGCGGGGGGGGGGGGGGGGGGGGGGGGAGGGGGCGTAACTAACACTTCGTCTCGTAGGATTTGGTGATTTCTCAGTCGGGATTTTTTAACTCGCAGGTCGCTGCTTTGTTTTGGGGAGGGGGGGGCTGTTTGGGTTTTTTTTTGGGGGGGGAGGGGGGGGTGTTAGTTTTTTTTTTTGTAAGGTCGCCCCCTTTCTGCTCGGTGGGGACCGCTGGAAAGCTGAGCCCCCCCCGCCCCCCCCCCCCCCCCCCCCCCCCCAGGGGCTGCGTCCCCCTTTTCCTGCACAGATTATTTTTTGTACTTGATCCCCTCCGGACCCTCAGGCTCCCCGCGGCGGGTTGTACAGTTTTGTGTAAAACAACAATTAAACGGACAATTCCTCAGCCAGGCTGAGCTGTGGCTGCTCGGGGGGAGGGGGGGGCGCAGGGACTGTCCCCCCCCCCCCAATTCTGCAGGGAAAAGTTGCTGAAAATATCCGAAATTGGCTCAAAACGGACCCCGGGAAAGCTGGAACATCCCCTTTCTCCCACTGCTTTTTCACCCATAAAGAGGCGCTGACGCCACGCGTGACGTCGCCGACCCCCCCGGCGCTCAGAAGGGACTGTGCCACGTCGTAACGCGAGGGCGCACACGTCACGCAGCCGCGTGCCACTCCCATTCATCATTTGCTTATGAACCGGAAGGATCACGCGCTCTTCTCCCGCGCCTCAGCCCAGCGCCGCGCCCCTCACCCCCAGCTCAGGGCGAGGCGGGAGGTCCCCATCAGCCCCCCAACATCTACCGACACCCCACCCTGTGCCCAACCGCCCCCCCCTCTTTACAGCCGCCATTTCACCTCTGTCAGGCGCGCGGCCCCGCTTCCCCGCACGCCGGCTTGTTCATTAGCCATGCTAATTTATTTCCGCGCGGCCACGCCCCCACCACCACCTTTACGGCAACGCCGGGATTTTTTTTGCGACAGCGGCGACGTTTGCGGCCGCTTGCGGGAGGCGGCCGCCTCTCAGGCCTGGAGGGGCTTCGGGGGTCCCCGCGGTCAGCACACGGAGCTGTGTTTGTCAGCGAGCTGAATTTACAGGGAGCTGCGTTTACAGAGGTTTTTTTTGAGGGGAAGGTCCAGCCGGCGGGGTGGGAGGCGGTGCTGGGGCCGGGCTATGGAGCTCAGCGGCCTGGTGCGAGCTCTGAGGCGGGAGGAGCCGCTACCCGCGCTCCCGCCGGCCGAGCAAATCCTCCTCCGGGTCGGGCGGCTCCTCGCCGAGGGCGCCGACGGGGCTCCCAAGGCCGGCGTGGTCAGAGACCTGGGTGAGCTGATCGAGGCCGCGAAGTGCCGGTGGCTTTTGGGAGCCCTGAGCCCCCCGGCGCTGGGCGAGCTGGTGGCTGCGCTGGGCGCCTACGCGGCACCCCCGGAGCGGGAGGGAGAAGCTGCGGGTCTCCCCATCCATGACAGCGCACACGCCGCCACAGCTCGGCGAGCAGCAGAGGCCGGCTCGGTGTTTCTACGCCTCCTCGCAAAGCTGGAAGCTGCCAAAACCCACGAGTCTCTGGGCGTCCCTGTGGTGGGTCCGATCCTGCGCCCTGTGCTGGGACCCCTCTACATCTTCGCTGTAACACATCTTGGGGAGAGGCCCTGGACTAGTGCAGAGTCACGGGCAGCGGCGCGGGAGCTGCTGGCGGCGCTGGTGCGGGCTGCCGGCTGCGGGTCGGTGGCTGAATTCCTGCGAGGGAAGGAGGAAGATGAGGAGGGAAGATTCGCAGCAGTGATGGGGCTCCTGAAACAGGAGTTGACCAAGTGCGTAGGAAGGGAGGGGGGCAGCAGTGGAGAGGGTGGCGTGTTTGGCTGGTCTCTGTGTAGGAAATACTGAAAACTTGGGAAAACTGTGAGCTCAGGCTTTACAAGACACTAGAAGATAAATATGGGGCCAAGTGCTTTACAAATACCCCAGTAACGGAAGTGTTGGGGGAGGGATCAGTCAGAGCTTGCTGTTGGCTGAGAGGCCCAGGCTCATAGTCAATGAGCATTTGTTAGTTCTAGCGTTCCCAGAGCTTACGTTTGTGTTTCCAGAGACACTTGGAAGCATAACCCTGCCACAAAGCACGTGTTCTCCTGGACGCTGCCTCACGTCACCCGGCCCTGGCTCAGCCATCACCTGGAGCGCGTCCTCCCGCCATCGCTGCTCATCTCGGATGACTACCAGGAGGAGAATAAAATCCTGGGTGTGCGCTGCCTGCATCATATCATTCTCAACGTGGTAAGGAGTTTGGGAATTGGGATCCCTTTCTGGGTGCTGTTTGAAGCAAGGGTGGGTTGGACGCCTGTTGGGGTTCCTAACTTCTGTTCCTGGTTCTGCTGTTAACCTATCAATTCTGCTCCATCTTCCATGCTGTCCCTGGGTGTTTGAAGACGTGTCGCTCTTTGATTTGTTACGCTAAACAAGTAATTGCTTTGCCACCTTTTGAGCTCAGCCAATTCACTTTCAGCCTGGCAGCAGTTTGCAGGGCAGGGTGGTATCAAAGTAACGCCGGCAGAACTGCCGAACAGCAGCCAGGGAGGCGAAGGAAAGGAGCTGCTCCTGTGCGGGGCAGGGTTTATCCTGCGGTTATTACAGCACCTGCTCCCACTTCCTTGCAAGCAGTGTCCCTAAGGCGCAGTATGTGCGAGGGCTTGTGAAGGCTGTTCTCTTTTCCCAGGTGAAGTGGGTGCTGAATGTGTCGTGCAGGAATAACTCTCCATTCTCTGTTGTTGCAGCCAGCTGCTGATCTGTGCCAGTTCAACAGGGCTCAGGTTGTGTACCATGCCCTTTACAACCATCTCTATTCACGAGAGGCCCCTCTCATCCAGGTGGGACAGCAGAACTTCATTTTAATCTGCCTTGGGATATTGCGTGTCAGCCCCACGAGGGACGGGCAGCTTAAGGCATGAGGGGGCAGAGCCTGTTTCCTCGCAGACAGTCCAGTCAGTCTGTTCCTACCCGATGCTTGTGGCCAAGAGACAAAGTAACTCAGTAGATTTCAGGAAAATATCGAAGTAGAGGGAAGACCTCTTGCCTCCTGTCCCCGTCCAAGTGGCAGCCTTGCTGAAGAGGGCTGGTAACAGCAGAAAGAGTCGGGTCTGTCAGGTGTACTACAGCAGCCGTGGGTGGTCAGCGGGGTTGGAAGTTACTGATGTTTTGAAGACAACGTCAGCAGGATTGCCCAGATTTACTGTGTCTCACCAAACCAGGCGGTCCTGCTGTGCCTGCTGGACTTGCTGCCGGTTTTGGAGAGAGCCCAGCAGCGGTGGCGGCAGCAGCAGCAGCAGCTGGCCAGACCAACCGGCCCCTGCGACGAGGTGCTGCAGCTGGTTCTGACGCACATGGAGGCAGAGCATCGCCTTGCGCTGCGGCGGGTGTATGCCCGGACCCTGCCTGCCTTCGTGCAGAGGTGAGAGCAGCAGCCACAGCCCTGCCAGGACTTGCTGTGGCCTTGGGGTGGGTCTCCCCTCTCAGTGTGTGTTTCTTCGTGTCGGCAGACTTGGCATCCTGATAGTGCGGCACCTGAAGAGGCTGGAGCGAGTTATCCTGGGCTACCTGGAAGTCTGTGATGGCCCTGAAGAAGAAGCCCGACTGGGAATACTGGAGACACTGCAGTGCACCATAGAGCACGCTTGGCCCAGGTACTCCTCTGGGCGTGAGGCACACTATAGAAATATCCTGAACGCAGCCAGTCTTTCAGAGCCAGAGTGACTGTTGCTTGAGGAGAAGGCCCTGAAATCTTAGAGGAGACTCTATCCCAGGGAGGAATCGCTGGCATTGCTGCTTTGCTGAAAAACCTGGCCCAAAAATTGAGCAGCGTCCTCATTTTGATCTGATTTCTGCCAGTCCTAGAAGCATTCACTTGGCTAAAAACCGAATCTATGTTCTCTGCACGGCAGAACTGCGGAGTAAGCCCTGTGCTGTGAATTAATTAGGCTGCCCCGACAACAGGCGTTCCCCACACCCCATCCTGAGGTTCCTGCGTGTTCAGGGCCCGTGTCCTGCCTCTGGTGGGCATGCTGAGCGAGGCAGCTTCAGCCTCATCGCTGAAGCAGTTGCTCATCCTAGGCCAGCTACAATCCTGCTCCACACATAAATGGCAACTGGTAGCTCCTGCCTGAGGTGTCTTAGAGCTAAGCCAGGCTCTGCTCTCCCCTGACTGGCAAAGAGGATTTAGAGTAAGGTGCAGTTGCTCTTTCCCTCCGCAGAATGCCGTGCAGGCTCCCTGTGCTCCTCAAAGCCCTGCTGAGGATGATCTGGGACGTACACGCTGACCAAGGTTCAACACCAGAGCCGGTAAAAGCTGCCTTGCTCCAGGGGGCCACTGAATGCCTCATCCTGCTGGATCGCTGCTCTGCAGGGCGAGTGAAGGTGAGCTGGGGACCTGGCACTGCATCTGACCCCTTCCCCCTTGGAAGGGGCAGCACTGAGCAGGCAAGAGCCTTCTTGCTTCCTCAGCCCAACAGTGTTGTGAAAGCATCAATTCCCACCCACCTCAGTATTAGTACTTGACTTGATTGACTTGCTGTATATATAGGTACTTGTCGATAGATGCTTTGTGTAATTCTCTTCCAACAGATAGCTGGGGGAGGGTTGGTACCACCATGAACCCGCGTGTGCCAAGGCAGTGGATATTGATGCTTTTCTTGTTTCAGGTCCTGCTGGAAGGCGTGTACAGCAGCTGCGAGGAGAACCGCGTACGGGAATGCATCAGGAAAGTGCAAGAGAACACGTGAGGCATGGCTGATCAATGCTCACCCTGCTTTTTGTACAGTAAAATTGTTTTATTTATTTAAAATTACTGTCTGTCTCATCCCACCCCTGTTAGCCCTGTACCTCCCCCAAACAAGATCCACTTGTGTGCTCGCCTAGCCACGTGTGGGCTTTTCCAGCTTTAGAACAAAGCAGCAGTGCCCCCAGTCCAGGCTCCTTCCAGGAGCACAGTCCGAGCTGAGCCTTGTGTGGCTGCAGACAAGGCAGGAGTTGTCTTCCTCCTAACTGTGCTTCATGCAGGAGTTGTACAAACGTGCTGCAATTGCCTGGGGTTGAAAATTATTAATTAGAATACTGAAAACAGAGTAATTTTTGAGGGTCCTTCACAGAGCGGCGAAAGCTGGAAGGAGTTCTGGTGACAGAGCTGGAGTCCTGTCATTCGGTACAAAACGCAGGTTCAGGAAGGAGTTAGGTTGCTTTTGTTTTGGTGGTTGGCTCTGTCTCTTCTTCATACTCTATTTCAATATAGGGACGTTTTCTTCTGGCTGGTCCTTTCAGGGGAGTTTTCCCTTTAGATTTGGAGAGAGCAGCTTTCTTCTCTACTTCTTCTTCCTCCTCCTCTTCACTACTTGTCTCCAACTTATCCATGTCCTGAGAAAGACAAGAGTGATGTCAAAGCACGCTGTGTAACTAAACCTCCTGTTTCTGCAAAATTATCTCGTGTATCCAATTCCATTTTATAATTCCTGGCTCCCAACTGTCTAGCCAGAGGAGCTGGGGTGTAGTGGATTACAGTGCGGTCTGACTGTATCATTATGTCCCACAAATCTGATTTTGCTGGCTCTTCCCCCATCACCAGAGACAGTGTGGGGGTGGAGGTTACTTTTGAACAGTTTAGCCTGGCAGTTTGTACCTGCTGCTTCACCTACCTCAAAGTCACTGAAGTCACTGTCATCTGCTTCCACAAACTCTCTTTTATCCATGTCCTGTAAGAAATAAAAGTCAGAAGCTAGCGCATGCACACCAAGCACAGTACAGTGTCCTGACTCACGACAGAAGAGCCATCAAGGCCACCACGCGCACACACATGCTTTTTCTGAGTTCTCCTCTCCTAATCTCTTCTCACCCTGACATTCAGACTACACTGCCCTGCGTGTAGGTGAATCAGAGGTGCTGCACCAGGTCAGGGAAGGATAAGCTGGTGCTGTGGCTGAAAGCCTTACCTCGTCATCTTCTTCTTCCTTCTCTGCATCGGACTCGCTCTCGCTTTCTGCATCTTGCTGTTGCAGAGCTTTGTCAAAGGCGTGAATGGGGAAGTTGTAAATGTCTCCATACTGAAAAGGAAAATGTAGATTTCCTGTAAGTCACAGGAGCAAGACAGCCGTGGGTGGTAGGGTCACATAAAGCCTACGGCCGGCATGGGGACAGTACCAAACCAGGCTGAACCTGTGGCTCGGCCCCTTCCCTAACTCGGAAGGATGCACTGCTGTATGGAAAATGAGGGGCTCTGTGTTTTGGGGAAGCGAGTTCTCCGGCCTCTGTTAAAGCTGCTCAGGAAGGGCAGCGTGTGGCCACCCCCTGCCCTTCCTACACAGGCGATGCTTCTTTCCCACCAAAGCCCTCCCGGGAGAACGGGCAGGACAGAGGGCAGCAGGAGCAGTTTTCCTGCCGTTCCCTGAAGGCAGTGATCCCTACCGTATCCTGCTTCAGCCTTTCCAGTAATTCCTTCTCAATGGCGTTATCCAGCTGAGCGGCAATCAGGGCTTTCTCCTAAAGGAGCAGAGAGGAGCTGTGTCAGTTGTTCGAAAGACATGTAGAACGGAAGCAGGCAGGAGATGAGAGTGTGGTATTACCTCTCTTCTCTTCTCTCGCCTTTCAATCTTGCGGCGTAAAGGAACGAGCTTCCTCCTACAGGGAGCAACAAGAGCTAGTTAGCGCACCTGTCAGCCTCGTGCAGCAGGTGAGCGAAAGCTTATTTGGGGCAACAAGCAGCTGTTATTAGAAATGTGGCTACATCTAGTTTTAAGTGCATTTATTTACCCAGGCTGTACCGCAGCTGAACCCATTTCAGGGAGGTTCAGGCCTGCCAAAGCCTCGAGCCAGGGACGGCGGCTCAGGGACGGGCAGCGCCTTGATAAGCCAAACCCGACCGCTCTCGGTCACGTCACTTACTGTCGCTTGAGCGTCAGCTTCCGGATGCGGATCAGGTACTGCGTGATCTTAGTAAAGCGCTGCTTGCATTTGTGTCGGATGAACCGCGGCCAGTAGATGAGGTTCTCGTCGATCTCTTCCAGTGCTTTCTCATAGTTCTTGCTTAGCAGGACCTGGGGCGGGGGAGAGGGAAAGAGTTGAGCCACGACGCGGGGACACATCCGCTCTTGGGAGGGCTCCCATGGCTCCCAGCCCTCCACGGCCTCTCGGGAAATTAATTAGAGCACGCTTGATTAGCGGGCTGCTCTCCTTAACTCACCCGCTCCCAGAGCCGACGGGGAAAAGCCGCCCGCTCTATCGTCTTCATGTACAGGTAACACCGCCCTGAAGGAAAGAGGAACGGGATCCCAGGAGAGACTGAGTGTGTCCCCAGAGCCGGGGTGCCCTCGGGCAGGTGGTATTTGCCCCCTCCCCACCCCAGGGGTGCTGCCAGACTCTCACCTTTCTCCTCCCTGATGGTCGCGTACTGGCTGTTTGCCAGCGGGCAGGAGGAACGGTTGCACAGGCCCGTCAGGTTATACTCATTGCGGCAAAAATTCTGGGTTTTTGTCCTGGAAGGGAGAGGTGAGGGAAAGGGGAAAGAGGGTGGGAGTCCCCCACCCCACAGCTGCCCACCCCATCCTCTGCAACCCTCACGCCCAGCTTGTGGGGGCACGGGGAGATGGGGAACCATGCCAGGGCCTGGGGGGGGCACCCAAATTTGTCCTCACGCTTCTCCCTGCGGAAGCACCTGCCGGATCCCCCCGCCCCGTCCCCCCACTCCCCAAAAAAACTCACGTTATCTTGTAGGAGCAGAACTGCCTGTTGCCCAGCGTGTCCCACACAACCTGTTGGAGGACAAACAGCGGGTGACGCGCACCGCCACCCACTCACCCGGCACCTTGTGCATCCCCGGGGCTCCTGCAGCCCGCGGTGAGGCTGTAACGGGGGGGGGGGTACCCCAGAAAGATGGAGGGGGGCCCTCTCTGCACCCCACTGGTAGGGAGGGGGCGGTGCAACGAGAGGCGCGGGGACAGCACAGTTGCTGCCGCCATATTCCCATTTACATTCCCACACCCCCCCGGTCTGTGTGCCCCCCAAGCACCCCGCGGGATGGGGATGGGGGGTGTCGGTGTGTCCGTCCGTGTGTGTACCCCCTCTCCCCTCCACGTGGGGACGGAACCGTCCCGGCGGCGGGGCGGGCGCTGATTGGCTGCGGCGCGGCTGCCGGGCGCGGGGCGGACGGGACCGACTCAACCGGCGGACTCACGTCGTCGGAGTGCATCGTGGCCTAGCGCGCCGCCATCGCCGGAAAGGGGAGCGGGAAGGAGCGTCGCCAAGTCTCGCGAGAGCCGAGGGGGCGGAGGGGAAGGGCGGGGCTGGCCTGTCATGGCGGCGGCCGGTGGGACCCGGGCCGGGAGATAAACCAGTGGTGGGGGGAGCTGAGGGGTCGCGGCTGCCGCTCCGCTCCGCTAAAGGAGCCCTGACAAGGCTCGGGGCGAGGTCTGTGTCTTGCTGGAGGCACCAGGCCGGGTCTGTTGGCGTTCCCCCTCTGCCTTTGGCTGTGGGAAATGGCGGCGCGGGGGGCGACCGGGGCCATCAGCTCCCCTTTCAGACCCAAGCCTTTCGATTTTCCGCCACAGAAGCTGTGAGGGGAACGTTTATCTGCAGCCTCTGGTCCCGGGGGGGGGGGGGAGAAACTTGCCCTCACAGCTGCCAAGATCCCCCCTTGTCTCCCCAAGCTGCAGAGCGGGCGGCACCGCTTTATATCACTGCTAACGCACTCGAGAATTAGATGAGGTTTTTCCAGCAGAGTGGGTAAAAAAATAAGGCTGTTTAGTGCAAAGATTGCAATTAATTCTTCACACAGAGCAGATAACCTCAGTGGGTAAAAAAAATCAGGTGGTTTGGTGCAAAGATTGTAATTAATTCTTCACATAGAGCAGAGAAACTCGATTAATCTCATTGGCGCTGCAACTAATTTATTAATTAAGAAGCCTTGAGCTGCCAGTGCCGGGGGAAAGAGCCACTCAACACGGCACAGCCTGGGGAGGTACGGATACATCCCCGAATAGAAGGGCTCACATTTTTCCCTTCCATCACAAGAAGCCAACGCATTTTTCCTTTTATTCTTGGCAAAGCAGGGAAACAGGTGGAAGATAAAAATAACCAGTTTTTGAGAGCAGGCTTAACATTAGTCATTTCCAGTCAGCCTAAGAAATATAATTTCATCTTGTATGTGCAAAGCGAGGGGCAATGGGCCTGCTGTGGATGTGGGATTGCCTGACAATAGCCATTTATGACCTTTGGTAATGAGTCATAAGGTACCAAATCTTGATGAATTGTTACTATCCTCCTGTTTCCCTGCTGGCAAACGCATCTGCATTGTGCTGCTCAGGCTCCAGAGCAGTGAATCATCTGTTCTTTCTGGCAAGTGAAATGGCTGTGCGTTACACAACTGCTCATTCAAGACAGAAATGAGTTTATATAAACTGCCAACAGTGGAACCAGAGAAGTTGTAATTTTGAGGTTTCGTTGGAAAAAATGAGATCACGGAATTTCTCTGATACGTTCAAAATTAATTTAGTACCTCACGCTCTCTCTCTTACTTAATTGTAACGTACTTTTACAGACCATTATACTCAACAATTATTGTTAACAGTGCAGCTGCTCTCTTTCTAAACTTGCGGCCAGGAAATTACAAAAGGGCAATTAAACCAATCTATTGTACTTCTCATTGCGCTGGGTTAGGATCACAAACATAGCTCATTACCCCATCTCAGCTGAGGGGCAGGGATTTTAAAAATGCTCTGCTAGCCACTTAGAATCACAAGGGATCTAACTGCCTTTGTTGGCTGAGTTTGTGTCTAAGACTCTAAAACTGCCTTCAGCCTAATTTCTGTCTGAATTTCTTAGAGTTCTTCAAATAAAGGAATTATTTTAATGGATGGGACAGCCATAAGTAGCACATAAGTGCACACCCAAGCAGCCATGAGTAGCACATAGATAGCACAGCACACAAAGCCATACCGAGACAGCAATGAGCGGGGTTTTTAACTGTCTCCCGAGGAGCGCGGAGCGCGTTAGCAGCACAGTGACATCTTTATTGACGGCCTGGCAGTGACACAGATGCATAGTGCCCTGGTGTTACAGAAAGTTTTCATGCTGGGGATTATAGCACAGTTCTGGAGACAGAAATCTCTCAAAGCTGCTGCCGCTGATTCAATTTTCGTTTTCTCCAGTGCTTTTCTTTCAAGAACAGTAAGCGCTTTAAAGACATTAACAAACGCCACTGGACTCATCTGGGAGAGATGTTGATATTATCCCCCACTGCACGGGGAGGCTGCGCCCAGGACAACATTGTTCTGCAGGACGGGTTGATACGATTCTCCTCATCTTGGTAACTTTTTCTTACAGATGAGTTGTAATGAGTTTGGGTAACTTGCCTAGAAGTCACACAGCAAGTGAGTGGCTGAACTAAACAGATAGAGCCTCCAAATCCGGGGTCTCTGCTCCCCGCTGTGGATTGCATAGCTGAGAGAACAGGTCAGCCTGTGTCCATCCTGCATCCACAACTCTTGGGGTTGGCTGGGTTATTCGTGGGTGCTGATACGTCCGTGGTCTGTAATCATATGAGCTTCAAAACAGGGCACGCATCCTTGCGCTTGCTATTCCACATCTTCTGCCTCCACATCACTGTCATCTGTGAGGGGGAAGTCGCGCAGGGTTTTCTGAGTGCTGTAGCTTTTGGTTTGCATGGGGCATTCCTGGTTTAAGATTGCCTGGGTAAAGGAAATCAGAAATCTTGCTTTAGTAAAAATGGTGGTTAATTTGAATAGTTAACGGGAGCATTGCCACTTTTACTGACAGCCAAAGCAGCCAACAACCTTTGTGTAGGGAATACCAGCTGTGAGTTAGGGAAAGGACCATAGCTCTAAACTTTTCTGGTTGTATTGTCTGAGTTTTTTGTCCCTTTGTTGAGGGCAGAGTAGATCCCAAGAGGGAAGACGCAATCCCTGGCAAATTAATTCTAATCCCCCTCCCCAGTTTTTGGATTATCAGTCTCCTATACTTCAAGGGAATAAAGGATACTTAAACTCACAATCTTCTCCTCTTTAGCGGGAGGGTTGCGCAGGAGCCAACACAGAGGAGCGTAAGTGATATTGATAACCCCAATGATGATCATCAGCCAGGGGAACCCAATAGCTCGTACAATCGCACCGCCTGTGGATGGACCTGCAAATTTTAAAATTAAAAAAAGGCTAAAATGGCAGAGAGCAAAAGGTGCCCCTCGAGTTTGGAGGCGGTCTATAAATGTACGGTGTCTGGGTTGCAGACGCAGCGCCGGTTCCTTGTGGTGATCACTGGGTGGAGGAAAGGGAGTGATAAACGGGGTGAGATACAGACGGAGTATGCCAGCCCCCGAGGCAGAGTTCCTCCGTACCGATCGCGAAGCCCATGCAGAAGGCGACGTCGGCGATGGCATAGACGTTGCCGTAGACGGAGGTGTGGCGGAGGTCCACGAGGTAACCCATGAGGGGCATCACTGAGGAGTCCACCATTCCTGCCCACAGCAAGGAGAGGCTGGTCAGCCACCGCCTTCCCCCAGGGCAGGGGGGAGAGCCGCGCATGAGCTGTGTCGTGCAGCCTGAGCACCGACTGCTTACCTATGGCAAAGCCAAGGCCACCGTTTGGGCCAATCAGCCCGTAAATATTTTTGGCCAGGGGTACCTGTGAGAGGAGAGGGCAGGGGGGTGTGAATGTGAATGAGGCCGCGCGAGGTGCGAGGGTGCAATGTAAATCTGTGCAACCACTGAACATCTACCGACCGCCGGGCGCGGAGCCCCAGCTCAGTGTTCTCACCCGTGCTGCCCTTCTACAGAAAGGGCTTGAAATTGTCTTGTGCTACTTACACAAAGGAGACTAATTCCCACCACGGCCGTGCCGATCAGGGAGCACAGCCACCTGCAACGAGCCCGCAGTTAGGAGAGGGGAGATGTTCTCAGTGTGCCCAACACCGCAAGCGTAATTCGTGCTGAAAGCCAGCAGTGGGGTGGGCTGAGCTGAAATCTCTTAGGTTCCACTTACCGGCCCATTTTGTTAGCCAGAATCCCAAAGAGATTGGTGCCGATGAGGTAGGATATACTGGCAGGGAGGAACGCCATCCCTGGGAGAGAGAGAAAGAATAGAACAAAGAATGTGTCATCCCCAAGCGAATACAGGGGATTTGCAAAAATACCCACTTCACTACCTGCCTCTCTCATTTGGAGAATATCGTGAGCCAGGCAAGGCAAGCTAACGGCCAGCACCCACCCTGTGGGTGCCCATCCCTGCGGTGGGAGGCGTAGGAAACGGGTTTGCTTTTGATGGGGGAAACTGAGGCACACAGGGGTGCGGTGATTCACCCACAAGATCTGAGAGACAACCAGGAGCTAAATGCAGGACTTTTTTTCTCTCCACTGCTTTAATAAACTTGTCCTTCTGTCATAGTTTCTTCCTCTTCCACCTTTCCCCCATTGCCTTTTCACTTACTAAATAAATAGGAATAGAATAACTGCTTAAGTGAAAAGCTTAGGGATTATTATATAGTCTAAATTAAATATTTGCAGTGTTTGCTGATTTACCAGTTGTTTGTTTTTAATATACTCTCCCACCGACTATAAATAAAACTGCTCAGCTCCGTTTCACTAAGACAACTTCCTTATTGAAACACACTGATTTATGTTTCATTTTCTTTCCTCTCTGTAACAGCAATAGAACGCAGTTAATCCTGCAGGTTTAGTCCAAGCTCTTCTGGTTTTTGTTTCCAGAATTACGGGAGTGGGCAAACTGAAGCATACAAATAAAGAAGCCCGTTGAGTTCATGATAGCTGGTGAGCTGGGTGGCTGGTGGTTGAGCTGTGTCTAAATACAACCTGCTCTCAAATCTCAGGTACCTGAAAATCTAATGAAGATATTCGCGGTTTTCTTTGATGTCTACTGCCCTCTGGGCCCTGCTAAGGCACCTCAGAGGTCCCCCTCGTGTTCGGTGGCGACAGGGGCAGCCCTGAGCGCTTTCCTCAGCCTGTGACATCTGTGGTTACCAGGCAGCTTCGCTGTCCCTTCTCCCCACTGCCAGCATCCCGGGACGCTGCTTCACCCTGGCCCATCCTTGCTCAATCACTTGCTCACGAGAAGCATCCCAGGCTCTTATCGGGATGGATGCTCCTGCCTGACCAGAGGATAACTCGATTAGGAGCTCTCTCAGCCCTCCTGCTCCCAGACTGCAATTAACTCAATTTGGGATCTAAGTGTAGCCTGGGGCACCTCCTAGGTCATTCCTCAGCCAATTGGGTTTTATAACAATTAGTTGTTATTTTTGTAGCAAACACAGACAATGTTATCTCCAGATCACATTTTCTAGGCAGCTGGTAATTAACACGTACCATCCTGTCCTGCCTGGGACTTTCTAAATGGCCTTGTTTTACTCAGAGCTGCCTCTGCAAAACCCATCTGGCTGCCACGATTCCAGCCCAGCACGATACCATTATCTGCCCTGCAGAAGATGGGATTCGACAGGCTTCCCGTGCATGAAACAGCCTTTCTTCCACCGTTATTGCTCTTGTGGGGAGTCTGATTCTATACAATTTTTTCAATAATAGAGAAAAGCACATTGTATAGCCACCACTAAGGACATTCTGAGCTGAAATTGGAGCAACACGCAGCCTGGGATCACTCGCTCTGTGCGGGTGAGGGCATATGTTTTCTTCTTTTTTAGAATGATATAAGAGTTTATTCAATCCACCTCGCAGTGCCAGAGCAGGACCAGTTCTAGCTAAACTGTATTGAGCAGCTGCTCAGGAGTGGAGGCTGCAGAGCACGGCACCTACCTAGCTGCCACTTCGGGGCGCACATGGTTTGCATCATCCAGATGGGCAAGGTGGGCTCGAGCATGGCCACCCCCATGTTGGAGAAGCAGAGGGCTCCTGATGGGGAGAAAAGGGAGAAATGTTCTATTTTCGCCCCTCTTTTCCTGCTGTTTCAAGCAGGCACAGGCGGATCTCTCTAACCAGGAGGCGCAGGTGGGCGAAGAGGAGCTGGCGCCCGCCTTTACCTGCAGCGACCAGGATGTAGGGGTCTCGCAGGAGGGTGAGCACCGGCGTGCCTCTGGTGCTCTGCGGGGTGGCAAAGGGGGGGGGTCACATCGGCTGGGAGCCGCGGGCGCCTTCGCACCCATCCTCAGCTCTCCTCCCCGGGCTCCGGTCACGCCGCCGGGCGCACCGGCTCCCGCACGCGCCTGTACTCACCTCGGGGGAGATCTTGGAGGGCTGCAGTATGCAGAGCTGCAAAGCTGGGAAGAAAACGCTGGCGTTAGCTTACTTTTGGAGGCGGCAGCACTTCAACCTGCATTTCCCTCCGGTTTTCCCTTCAGCCCTTTCATCGGCAGAGCCCCCGGGGATGCAGAAGTTGTTTGGGGACGTCGCTGAAGCGGGCAGAGGGAGAGGTGGCTCCCAACCCTGCTCCCCTGGGAGGGAGCAGCAAAACTCCCTGACGTGGACTGTGTTGTAAGTATTTTGTCAAGCCATGAAGCAGTCAAATATGCAAATGCTCTCCATCGGGCTGCCAGCTGGGGAGCCACAACTAAAGCATGACAGAAATTAGACGCGGAAAAGAATAGGATTAAAAAGGAAAGTTTCATAAGTATGGGACCTCCATGTCATTTTCCAAAAGCTCTTACATGCTTCATTAAAGATGTCTTGCATTACATCTAGGCAAAGACAGTAACTGTGACTATAATTTCATTAGCTTAATACTTTTCACTAAAAATGCACATTTCTGCTATTGAGATCTTTGCTGTTACACTCTGAAGGCTCTCGTGGCCTGCATCTGTGATACACCCACCGCAGAAAGAACAAGGATCACCATTTATCCTGGCAAAGTCTCATTCCTTTGTGGCGTGGTGAAGAGGCTGCAGACAAGTGTGCCTTTCACAAAGAATTCACAGTTCAAAGAGCTTTGAATGTGCTATTCAAGTCATTAAGGCAATCAGGGGGTTTATTAAGTAATGAGGGACTAATTCTTACTGTATTGCTATGCCAATCATCTGGTGGTAGAAAACATATGATTTAGCAATAACACAATATCCAGTGCTGCTGATATCACCTGTGTTGGATTAATGTGCCTCTTCCTTCACACGAGCCCTCTGAAATTCTCCCCAAAATGTCCGTGTTTAAATCTTTCCACATGTTTTTATTTAATTATTTATTTTATTTTATTGGTTTTTTTTTTGTAGAATTAAACCATTTGGCTTCTCACCTCCATCCAAGAGGGCAAGGAACGCCAGGACCAGGAATGGAGATGATTTCCCCACGAATTCATACATCACGCTCCCGAAGGGGGCCCCGACTGCAAGGGAAAGGTTGTGTCACACAGCGGCGGTGCCGCCGTCCCCAGCGCCCCGGCAGCGCGCTCGGCTCCTGCCCTCATGGTTTGCTCTGAATCCCCCGGCGGGCGTTTGGTGAAGGTGGTGGGAAGGCGTCGGGTCCCGCGGGGGCAGCGGCTGCGGAGGGTGAGCAGAGGGAGGGAGGGAGGAGGCCAGGCCAGGCGTGCCCGTGGGATGCCGCCGGGGAAGGGTGGAAGCCAGCGGTGACGGCCAGCAAAGCTCTGGAGAGGCTGTTGCTGTAAACCCCGTTGGGAGCGAGGTTTCCTTACTCAGCACACCCAAGGCCAAGCCTCCAAGAGCGATGCCCATCGCGTTGCCCCTCTCGAAGTCGTCTGGGTACACGCTGGCCAGCATGCCCAAGCCTGGGAGCAGAGAGAAAGCAGAGGCCACGTGAGGCTGGCTGGCGGCGTTGGGGGGGGGGGATCCTCTCTGAAAGCAGCCGGGGCTTTGGGGGGGATTTATCTGCTTGCTGGCACCCATGTGGGTGATCTCCATCAGCCAGGCAGGCACAGTGAGGAGGAGCTTGAAGCCGAGGAAGGCACGCGGTGTGTCTGTGCTGCTGATCGTTCCTGAGATGATAACTAAACCCGGACAAAGAGACCTAATAGAGGCACGAAAGGTGTAGCTAAAACATTTACCTGCGACCGATGAGAACGATGAGCCAACGCCTTGGAGGGCTCGGGCGATGAACAGCAAGGTGTAGGTGCCTGAGAAAGCAAACACTGCGGAGGAAGGAGAGAGGCGGCATCAGGCAGAGCTGCGGGCTGGGCGTTAAAACCCTGCAGAGGGTAAGAGCGGCCTCAGCTTGCACCAGTTTGGGTGCTGGAGGGGGCAGGGTGCCACTCGTCCTTTCTTGTCACCGATTTCTGAGAGAGGGGGCTCTGCTCTCACTCCTTTCTCCCACACGGCGACAGCAGTGCAGGCACAGTCCAAAGGATTTTCTCCTGTGCTGCTGCGTATGAAGGGCAGACAGAGGGGCAATACTCACTGACTGTGGAGATGAACATGATGATAAATCCAATGAACATGGGGATGTGGTATCCTATCCTGGAAGGGGGAAAAAGAGGAACCATTTCAGGCAGGAGTCCTCATTCCAGCTTGAGATCTGGTCTTGCTGCCCAGCCTTAACCCACACGTCTCTGTGGGCTGCTGAGCATCTCCTGAACGCGTGGATGTGCCCGTGAGTGCTGATTCGGGGAGGAATCCAGTGTCCAAGTACCCCCAGATAATACTGGAAAGCACAGCCAGACAGACAGCTCTGTTTTGCCAACTCATCTGCCCACCCAGACCGCGTGGAGGTGAGCCCAGCGCAGCTCACACGTGTCTGCTAGAGACAAAGGCAAATAAAAACTCAGGGGCAGAAAATCCGAACAACAACATTATATCCATAATGGGTTGGGAATCTTTGTTTATTTGATGGTTATTCGTATTAAATAGCATCTGTCCGCACCTGAGGAGAGCTTTAGAGAGGCTTATGTTGTAATATAAGCTTGCAAGCCATTTGTGGGCTTTTAGGAAAGGTAAAATTCATGCTTATTCTGACACGTATATCCTCTCCCTTGGTTTTTACCCACCAGTTCCTCTAATTCCATGATTGCAGGGGCTGCACTTGTGCAGCACAGAGCTTTATTGCTCAGCTAGTGGTGATTTCCTCAGCAGGCAGGAGCTGCCTGTCCCTGAAGGGCTACACCGTGGTGCAAACCCAGGGCTCTGACCTACCTGTTGGTCAGGAGACCCACGGATGGGTTGACCACCAGCTGTACGAGAGCCTTGGAGGCAAACAACAGCCCCACGCGGACGTTTTCCTTGGCGAGGAACTCCTCGCCCTCCGGGCAGCCGCTCGGCGGCGGGGGGCTGCCGGCGGGGGGCCGCGGCGGGCGGGTGCTCTCCATCCCGTTCGCCAAGTCCACAGCACTCCCGGAGCCCGAGGCAGTCACCGTGGTGTTGTCAAAGTAGGAGAACATGGAGGAGAAAGGAGGAGCCTTCAAGGATGGAGGAGCTGGCTCAGTCCAGGCTGGGGCAACAGAGCTGTTGGCGCCTTCGTACTCTGTTGCGTAAAGGAAGGTGGGGATGATCGGTACTGGAAGAAAAGCCAGGGAAGGGATTAGTTAGTGATTTTAGTGCATTTTTTGGCTCGGCATGCAGCTGAACTGAATGGTGCTGGCGAGACATCAGTGTCCTGGAAGCTCCCTGCACCCAGCCCTCCCCACGGCTCTCCCTGCGCAGGGCCCCTGCCGGCATCGACCAGAGACCGCCCGAGGAGCCGAAACCCCGAGGTGGGATCTGAGGAGCACAGCGAGAGCCGCACGCCGTACCCACGACCGTCAGCAGCATGTTGTCCAGCAGCAGCGCGACGAAAACCACCACCAGCACCAGCCTCCGCGACGTCCTGCCCGCTGCCAGCCAGCGCCAGGGCACGCCGTCGGCACCCGGGGCCATGGCCGAGAGCCCGGAGCCCAGCCCAGGTCCTGCTGGCTCCCGGTCTTCAGGGCTGAAGGTCTCCTGTGATCTTTAAAGAAAACACTCTGGGTTACGACCTCCCACAGCTCATGGCTTCTCCCTGTGAGACAGCAACTCCTGAGGTCGCTTAGTGTCTGTGTCCTCCAAGAGCCGGGCGCTGTTCCCTAGGAGCTGGGACCACCAGCTTTGCTCTCAAAGACCGTGGGTTTATCAAGCTTGCATTTAAAGTTGCAGATGGAGTGCTCTCTAACCCGTTTCCACGCTCCTGAGACATCTTGTACCTGCTTCAAGGCATCGTTTAAGTCTTCTTCCAAAGACTCAAAGCACAGATCAAGCTGGTAGCTTATCTGTGGTAATCTCTACATCTTTTATTCCATGTTTGTTCTTTGGAGATTAAATTCAGTCTCAAAGGAAATTCATTTACCTTACATGTCTTTTCATTTGACCTAATTGAAATGTCATGGCAAGATACGGGACTTAAAAGCCTAACATACGTGATTAAGATCAGGACTTCAGAGGGGCTGAGAGAAGATTGCTTGCTCAGTCACATTGAAAATATCAATCAGAAATTTGCACTAAACCAACCAAACAATTAGCCATTTATGTTCTTATAGCTCTTAGGCACTTCAGAGACTAAGTGGCAAAATGGATGGAGCTGAGTCTGAACTATCACTCTTCAATAAACCTGTGGTTTCCTGAAATCCCAGGCAATGATATTTATCAATTTTGAATTAAAAAAAGCAAGCGCTCCAAACCCTCTATCACCAAATATGAGTGCCACACAAGTCACTAAGTTGGGAAACGGAGATGGTTTCTCACTGTACCTCCGAGTACTAGTAAAGACCAAATAATAGGATTAATGCAAGAGAAGAGATAGATGTATATATAAATTAAGAGAGAGAAAGAGTGAAGAAGCACAGACAATAAAGACACGTAGACTGATGAAGCCCTTGTGTCTCAAGCCACAAACCCTGTCCCCTTCTCGCTGCAAACCTGTTGTGTGGAGCAGAGGAAAACAAACTCTTACCCTGGAGCCCATCTTGGTGCGAGTTGCCGGCTGCTGCTGCGGGAGTTGGTGTGGTCTGCAGGCGCTGCTCCGGGAGGATTTATAATTACCTTTTATCAGAAGAGGATATGAGTGTCCCTCTTCCATGGAGATTTAATTGGAACCTCAAACAAGTTTCATTCAGCCCTGCAGCTCCCTCTGCGTCAGAGCAGGACGGCGGGGTGGGCTGAGGGGGACTGGGAGGAGTGTTTATCTGCAGCAGAGGCACCCGCTCTCCAGGTTTCCATCAACGCTTATCTCTCTCCGAGCACCTTAACTCTTGCCTGGGTCTGAGCACACCGAAGCTGCAGCCCTGCTCCCTGGGGGGAGCCTGCTTTGCCCCGTCGGCGGGTGCTTGCGAGGGGCAGCGAGCAGATTCCTCACTGGGAGGCAAGGCTGACATCGTTAAATGGCCCTGGGAAATGCATTTATGGAATACATAATAGTCTCGGACTTGGGCTACTCTCCAGGGACCGATGGCTGTTCTCTTGCTGCCAAGCGCTGCCTGTCCTTGGTCCGGCTGCCCTCCTTCCAGCTGTGACTCCCTGTTACACACCCCGGAGCAAAACCAGGCACGTTTCACCAGCGAGACCTGCAGCGCCCCGGGGATTTTTGGTTCCCTCCAAAACTCGGGGAGCACGGTTTGATGAAAGAGGGCTCCCTCCTCATCCCCGGGAGAGGCTTCTGCGGGATACCCGGCCAAAAAGGTGGCGGCTGGGAGGGTTTTTGCTAAAGGGTCTGCGTGGAGGCGTTGCAGGGAGATCTGCATGGCTTTACAACCTGCAAAGGGAGGGGAAGGAGCGGCGTGTCCAGCAGTCCCCACAGCAGGCAATACCAGAGCCCCTGCTTCTCCCACCGGTCGTGGCACAAGGAGCTCCCTCCATAGCATCCCTTCTCCGGCAGGTTTTTCCTTTATGTGCTGAATGTTTTCAGCATTAGAAGGCAAATAAACTGAAAGAGAGCTCTTTCTCCAAAGGAAAAGAGAAATATTTAGGTCACTGAGGCTCATGCTGTGGGCTGGTCCGCAGGATGCTGGCAAGCTGACTTTGCCTAGTCCACCATGTAGAGCAGCTTTTCAGGATTTCCAAAATGATAAGTGTCATGATAAGCGTTCATAGTGGATAGAAATCTTTTCAAGGCCAGAATGCACTGATCTGGCCTATAATTTCTGGGAGCTCTGGGGGGGATCTCGCCTCTCCCCTGGGATTCAACAGGTTGTGGTCCCTCCACATCCGAGTGCTGCCCTTGCCTCCTCCCCACAGAAGTGGGGTGCCTGTCCACAGCCTTGCCCCGTGTTTTTTTGCTGCCTGCTTTATCTCCAGGGACAAGGAGATATTTCTTGGACTAACAAGGCCAATTTCTCATAAGCAAAGCTGGATGGAAAATTGTATCCATGCATGGGTGAGGTACTGCAAATGCCATTTGCAATGTAATCTCTTTTCTGCCATAATTTCCATTTTCTTAAACTTTTGACACTTTGCTCCATGATTGCTTTTTTGAACCAAAACTGGTACCATCATTCATTCAGGATACAGAGATTTACTGCAGAGAAGGAAAAGAAATCCTTAACATATTCACCTTTTCTCTTTTGACATGTAAATCTGCCGTTGAGGCCACTTATCTGGCTTCTGCATGGCCAAAAACTATTGCCAATAACGTGAGATGAGTACATCCTACCAAGGAATTCCCTGGATGTGCATTAAAGCAGAAGTTGAAGCCTTTAAATATATTTCATAAGCTGAGAATTGAATGTCTAGGCCTGGAAATTACTTTCTAAATATTTGCAAAGTAGACAGAGGATGAGCAGTGCAGCACTACCATCTACTGAGGGAGCTCAGAATTGCTCAGCTGTTCCTTGGGCTCTGGATAGAAAATAATTCATCTTCTCCTTCAGGTGAGGGGGGGCATGTGTGTGGAGACAGTTATTTTGATTATCTTTTTTCTTTTGTGGGCCCCGAGGTCAGGACACCATCTCATTTGGTAGTCCTAGGCAGCCGAAGGAGATTGCAGTGTCATTCATGTCACTTGTTTTGCAGAGATGATGGGAAAGCTTACTCAGATGTGCTTTGGAAGTATTTCCATGTGTCTGTCAGATTTTTCCAGGCATTCTCTTCTGTGTTTTTTTTTTTTGTTTGTTTTGTTTTGTTTTTTAACCATTATAAATGTTTGCCATGAATTTTTCTTTCAATAACCCTACGGAAAAAAAATGACTACAATTTTATTCTTGGCCAGACCGAGGTAGTAAAGTACAGTGAACATTTCTGATGTAATGAAAAGTAAAAAGGAATTTATGGGCTGTCTCGAGGCCCAGCATAGGATGTGTTCCATGAAAAATTGCTGATAGCAGACCTCACGCCGGCTCTGCAGGCTGATTGCAATTCCGGTGAATTCAGTCGGCAGCAGGCTCCGCTGGGCGAGATTGCTCTCTGCTGCTGACTCACCTCCAAGGTGCAGTGAAATACATCTGCTGTGCGGCGCGGGCCCCTGCGCCCCGGCACAAAGCAGCATTTTACAAACCAGCGTGAGACAAATGGCTCAGAGATGTCATGCCACCAGCCTGGGGTCGGGTGAACACGACAGCGTCAACGCAGATTGGAACAGGCACCCGTAAAATCATACTTTAAAGTCACTCTCTGCTAGTATTTCCTTTACCAGGAGGTTTCTGTAACCCCACGCGGGAACCGCTGCCCTGGCAGTGCCGCTGCCTTACGCTCTCCAGTGGGTGAATTTGCGTTGTCAAATGCTATTTTGTTGTCTTCTTATTAAGTCCATTATATTAATTATTAAGTCCATGAGGCGAATTTTCTCAGATGAGTTAAGAACTGAATACAAGTATTTAGAACAGAGAATGGTGAGTTTTGAGCATTTGGAGTTTACATCCCTGGGCCACCTTTTAAGCCAGGCTTTGAACACAGGTGGAAGCCGTTTGCAAAGTGGTGCCTGTTGAAGCAACCCTTGAGGCTGCCATTTAGCGAGTCCTGCTGGTTTGTATTTTGTATTTTGTTAAGTCCTTTTGACTATTGACAAACAGGAGAGCTCGGTAATTTGCTCAAGGTCATGTTGCATTAGAAGGAGAGTTGAAACCTTGCCAAAGCCTTCCAGTTTTGTGTTTAATCCACTCAAGATCGTTGTCCCTTTGTCTGAGGATTATTTATTGTGTTTATTCCCTCCCTAGCCAAACAGTTTCTTGTGCGATTGTTTAGGTTTTTTCCATCAGTCTCACCAGTCCCTGGTACTCTGTTGCTCCTCCAACCAATCACAGAATTGCCAATATTTCTTTACAAACATATTCCCCTGAAGTATTTCAAGTTTTAAGGTGGAAGAAGATAGAATATTTTTTTATAATATCAAATAATTCTATCTCACTGCTAAGCCGGGGGGACAACAAACAGCAACTATTAAAATTTAACATGTATGAAGAGATACAGAACCCATAAGGAAATAGAAGGATGAAAGACAAATGTTTTTCTGGAAAAAGGTGTTTACAAATAACCCACTAATTTTTTTTTTTTTTTTATTAGATTAAAGGTTTAGGGAGTAAGGCAGCTCTCATTCTGTCCTTTAAACAAGTGTACCAGTCAGCCCTTGATGTCTGAGTATGTGGTATCAGTGCAAGTGGGGTGTTTCCATCACCAGCCCTGTCTCACTGACAGTTCATACTTTATTTCTTATCTCCCATCTCCCCGAAGCAGCTCCCGTTACACTCTCAGATCAAAGCGCTGGTTTTGGATGAAGCATCTCCAGGAGAAGATGGCTGTGGTGTAAGGACCCCCGTGGAGGCTGGGGGCCACCGAACCCCACCGCCGGAGCCGAGCCGAGCCGGGGCCGTGGGGCGGAGGGACCCCCAAATGCCCCTCACGCCCCGCGGCTGGGGACGGCCGTGCTGGGGGAGCCTGGGCAGTAGGCCAGGGCTCTGCTTTTCTTTTATTTCAGAATTACTCCTTTTCTTGTTTTCTCAGCCATTTAACCCTTCTGTCAGTTCATTCATTAATTTCCTTGCTTGCTTGTTTCCTCTCCCTTTTTCTTCCTTTTTCTTTTTACTCATTTTATTTTTTTTTTCATATTTCATTTTCTTTTTATTCTCTTTCCTTTTATCTTACCCCCTTCTCCGTTTTTCCTTTTCCTTTCCCTCTTCATTTTACTTTTTATTTTTTTCTTTTTTCCTTTCTTCCTCCTCCTCTTCCATTTCTTTTTTTCCTTTCAATTCCCCCTTTTCTTCTTTTCCTTTTCCTTTCCCTTTCCCCCCTTTTCCTCTTCACTTTACTTTTTATTTTTGTTTTCTTTTTTCCCTTCTTCCTCCTCCTCTTCCATTTCTTTTTTTCCTTTCAATTCCCCCTTTTCTTCTTTTCATCTTCCTTTCCCTTTTCCCTTTTCCTCTTCATTTTAGTTTTATTGCTTTGTGTTTTCCTTTCTTCCTCCTCCTCTTCCATTTCAGTTTTCCTTTCTATTCCCCCTGTTCTTCTTCCTTTTTCCCTTTTCCCCTTTTCCTCTCCCTTCCCCCTTTTCCTTTCCCTCTTTATTTTAGTTTTTATTTTTGTTTTGTGTTTTCCTTTCTCCCTCCTCCTCTTCCATTTCCGTTTTCCTTTCAATCCCCCTGCCCTTCTTCCTTTTTCCCTTCCCCATTCCCCTTTTTCCTTTTTGTTTCTCTGTTTCCCTTTTCCCGTTCCCCTTTTTCCTTTCCCATTTCCTGTCCCCCCCCCCCCCCCCGCCCCGTGCCCCCCCCCCCCCCAGTACCCGGGACAGCTCCCCCCCCCCCCCCCCCGCGTTGGGCCGCTCGGGGGGGGCGGGGCCCGGCGCGCCGCCGCTATATCAGCGCATGCGCAGCGGCGCGGCGGGGCCGGGGCGAGCGGAGAAGATGGCGGCGGTGCGGGCGGTCCGCGGGCTGGTGAACGGCGCCGGGCCCGGCGGGCCGCGGGAGCAGGTGGCGGCCCTCACCCGCGATTACCTCTCCCAGCCGCGGCTCAGTGAGTGCGGGGGCCCGGGGCGGGGGGGGGGGGGGGCTGGGCCGCGGGCAGGCCGCGGTGATGGGGCCGGGCCTGCAGCGCCGCTCGCCGCCGCCGTGGCCCGTCTGACCGCCGCGGCGGGACACGGGCCGGGCCGCGGGGCCGTCGCCCGCTCGGTAACGCGTCCTCTGGGAGAAGGCGCGGGGTTTTTAACAGGAATTTAGCAGGAACTGGGAATGGCTGTAAATGGGGGGGGGGGGTGGCGTGGGTTCTGTGCCTGTGACATGAAGTTGAGCAATCTGATGGAAAAGGGGAACTGCAGTAGCGTTGCAAAACCCCCTTGATTGCAGTATAGGAGGGGGGGAAGTCCAAGTTGTTTGAAGGTGCGATTTTTCCTAGATTTTTTTTGATCTAGGTAGTGATTACACAAGTGCCTTTACCCGTACACCTACGTAGCACGAGCACTTACAGGGTGCTAGCCGGAGAGCTTCTCTGCGGTGGTTTCTTTCAAAATGTCACTCTGGTTGGAAAGCCTAATCGATTCTTACAGTTCCTCTTCCCACAAGTCTACTGCTTGGCTTTATTCTGGAGTGGGGGCTTCTGTCAAGGTTGGAGCCAAGGTGACTTCATATTCAGTTCACGTTTTTCTATGTAGAATTTGGCTTTTGCCCAAACTGACATCACCAGCAAGCTGGGTATGAAAAAACATTGCTGTTGCTTTTGGTTTGTCATAGAACTGGTTGATCTGGCTGTAAACCGGAGTTTTGAATCAGTGGGG